GTTATTGTCTTCCCTAGTGTACTTCCATTCAGTCATGTATGTAGAAATGATACTAATAATAGCCTTCACTTTTCTGTATGGAATTAAAATTCTGTTTAGTCACTTGAATGTTCATAAAATTTATTGTGCATGTGTGTGTGATTATTACACACACACACACACACGGTTGCAAATTAGGCCTAGAAAGAAATGCTTTGTATACGGTTTCCCAACCGACTCTATGTAAAAATGCCCAACCCTAAAGTTTTTAACACCCCCCCCCCAAAAAAATAATCATCTCCCGACTGATCCTAATGTAAAACGCCCTTTGATATATATATTTATTTTCATTAAATTAAGGGGTGTTGCAAAATAAATCACACTTTCTTTCCCGAAAGCATAACAAAGTAAAATAAGATTTTAATTCAATCAAAAAAGTAATTCCAAGTATCAATATCAATTAATTGGCCCACCATTGTTCTCACGCACGAGTTTTAATCGATCTGCAAAAGATTTCAGCAATGCAACAAACATGTCTGTTTCTGTGGCTGTCTCTGTGAGCACATCAGTGAGAACACATATCAAGTTTTCACGTTTGTGACACAATTTCCAACATTTCTTCAGTGCATTGTTGAACGAAAACTCCAACATTTTCGGCGGGATTTAATTCTGGAGAGTTCCCAATCCATATTCCACCACTTTTTCACGGACCACTCTTTCAAATTCAACAATTCTGAAACTTTTGAGGCATTAATCTGATTTTTAAAATCTGGCATTGCGATGTGTCGATTGGAAGACTTGAATTCTCGGAGCATGTCTGCGACTTGTATCTGAGCCATCCCGAAGGCAGCACATGCGACACGAACCTGAGTTATAGTGAGCACCATGACTCAAAAGTTTTCGCAAAAAAATGAAATTCAAAGAGTCAAACCCCAAGAGTACATTGAAATAACGTTTTCTCACAAGTGATGATATTCGCGGTCCTAACAAGTTCGTCATTATTTCGGGGGGGGGGGGGGTGCGATTTATTTTGCAACACCCCTTAATGCACCAATCTGCTACCATATCGTGTAAGGTGAAGGTCATAAGAAACCACATCTCTGATTCGTTAGTTGGTGTAGTGTGTTAACGATCTCAGCCAGTTACAGCTGAGTTTATATTCATGCAATGTTAAAAGTTTTATCATGGCAGCTAGAATACCGGCTGTCGTATTTAGCAAATGCCCACGTTTCCCTAAAAAATACAGTTTTACAGTTTACTGGAACAGTCAAACACGTGTTAGAGACATACCATCATAAACTAGATTCAAATGATTACAAACACACATTAACATACGTTGATCTTGGCGAAGTATTAATGGACACTGAGACAGACCAATTAGTAGACACGTTCCGTGCCAAATCAATTGAATTTCACAGTAGGCGTTAACGAAAATGCAGAAATTGAAAGCACCAGGTTACAGTGAAAAATCCAATCAGCCCAATACTCCGCCTACTTACCCTATTTTCGAGGGCGTAAAAAATTTAAAAAAAATGCTTGCCTACTTACCTACCCCCTTTTTCCCCCGATAGGTAATGGGAAACAAAGCTTTCTTTTCTAGGCCTTAGCAATATCATAACTTTTTTTTTTTACAATTCCTGCAGCGCCATCTATTGACTTACCAAAAAATCACATGTACTTGAAATAGATTGACCCATTAAAAAACAAATGCAACAATTTTATTTCTCCAATATTATGTCAAGAGAAAGAAAGAATCCTACACAAAAAATATTTAAATTTACATTTTTACAAAATATAAGGTTTCTTAACTTGTTCACGATCAATCCAAGACTGTTTGTTTTATTGTTAACTTAAAAGTATAAAACTACTAAATGGCTTTTTGTTTGAAGCTACACGATGGGCTATCTGTGCACTGCCCATCACGGGTATCGCAGACACATAGCTGTGCCACTTTTGTTTTGAAATAATGTTGAAGAAAAGTTTCGAGCAAATTGAAAGCTTATTATCAAGAACAATAAACAATACATTAAAATAAAACAAAACATCAATTACAAGAATATACAAAAGTTACACACATGACTTTTCAACTATCTAAACTGGAAGCAAACAGCCTCCCAAACCATGTGAATGCTCTACAAGTTAGTAATGGATACAGAAACACTAAGCCTAACTTGTGTTTCCTACTCATTGTTGTTCTCCGTAACTCGTAATCCTTACCGTCTGTGCAGAAAAATAAAAATCCATTGTAATGCGAGTTATTTTGTGACTGTAAATCAAGAGTGAATATGTGAAAAAACAACAACAATCCTTCTGTCATATAACAAGTAATAAAAACATGCAAACACGCTCTCTCTAGTTCCATATATAATGCATTTTGTGACAAAAGAACTTGAAAGACGGTGTGTATAAAAATTGCTTTTTATTACTTTGTACCAACAACCACTAAGATCCTGACATTATTATTATAATAAATGCCTGTCGAACATACCTGACTTGCAGAAACGTAATACTGAATGTCTTATTACACAATTTAATAATTTCGTGTCCCCGCACCTCATCAATTGTCTACTACATCTAAAAGTTAACAGCCAGCACAATCCGTCCCTCTGGATAATACATCACAACATAACATTGTCGTCTTTGACAAATTACCTTGCAGCATGCCTGTATATTTACCTGTACGTAGCTTTATGGAAACAAAGGAACACTCTGAGCTGTGGCAACCGTTTATTTTATTCTACCCTGTAACGTTGTTGTTTCTTGAATTATAAAAATCCGAATTATAGATGTTTGAAACACCTTAATCGTTGACGATGGCAAAACATTTGTTACTATGTTAAACGTATAATAGTTTTTGTTTATTACTCATTCTAACCATTTTCAAACTTTGCCTCAAAGTGACATCCTCGTCATCAAATTCATTTACCATATTTCTGATATAAGTTAAACACAGATTGCCACACTAAAAAAATATTTAATTAAACCGCTTAAACTAGGCGAAATCAACAACATAACATAGAAACAAACGGATTTCAAGCCTTGCAAGCCCATTTGGCACTGTTGAAGAATCTCGTTCTAAATAGCCAATGATGTGGAATCTGAGGTTTTCGGTTTTGAATTTCGCGCAAAGCTACACGAGGGCTATCTGCGCTAGCCGTCCCTAATTTAGCAGTGTAAAACTAGAGGGAAGGCATCACCACCCACCGCCAACTCTTGGGCTACTCTTTTACCAACGAATAGTGGGATTGACCGTCACATTATAACGTCCCCACGGCTGAAAGGGCGATCAAGTTTGGTATGACGGGGATTCGAAACCGCGACCTTCAGATTACGAGTCGAGCGCCTTAACCACCTCGCCATGCTGGGCCTCCTGAAGCGGTAGCTGAATTAGCTAAAGCATCCTTCCCCTTGTTTTTTACTTCTTCAGAAAAGTTAGGAAGAATGTAGAATACTTTGTTTTCAAGACCAAATACTCTTCGTGAATTCTTCAAATCTCATGTCGTAATCATGGTAAAGAAGAGAAAAAAAATCATTTTCATCTAAAAATGTTCGGAGGTTCTAATATAAATAATGCAAATAATATAAATATAATATAATATAATATCTAATATAAATAATAATAACATTACGATGTTACAGTATCGAATTTTGAGTCGACTGAGAGTTTGTGAAATTCTCATGTGGTCTGACACATTAAACATTGAGACACCGAATCTGACACATTAAACATTGAGACACCGAATCAGACACATTAAACATTGAGACACCGAATCTGACACATTAAACATTGAGACACCAAATCAGACACATTAAACATTGAGACACCAAATCAGACACATTAAACATTGAGACACCGAATCTGACACATTAAACATTGAGACACCGAATCTGACACATTAAACATTGAGACACCGAATCTGACACATTAAACATTGAGACAACGAATCTGACACATTAAATATTGAGACACCGAAGAATAGAACTCAAACAATGCTTGACATTCGTCCACAAGTGAAAAACTATATTGTTACATTACCTCTATACTCCAAGATGCTATTTCACTTGCAGACTTAATCATTACCGGAGAAACTCGACATATATAGGTTCCAATAGAATAGAGCTGCTATACAGCTGAGAGAAACATTCCGATCTACACTGACTATAGCATGTAAAGCAGCATACTGACGGCTATCAGTTTGTTAAAAAACATCTTGAATGATTTAACTTTACCCAGTTGGCAGTATAATTTTACACTACAATTATAGGTATTGTGCCACGCCACCACCAGCAAGTGTAAGATACTCTAGACATGATCAACAATAGGTATGTGACATACTACCAGCTAGCGTATTATATCCTACAAATTACCAACGATGGATGTGTGACATACTACCAGCTAGTGTATTATATCCTACAAATTACCAACAATGGAAGTGTGACATACTACCAGCTAGTGTATTATATCCTACAAATCATCAACAATGGATGTGCGACATACTACCAGCTAGCGTATTATATCCTACAAATTATCAACAATGGATGTGCAACATACTACCAGCAAGTGTATTATATCCTACAAATTACCAACAATGGATGTGTGACATACTACCAGCTAGTGTATTATATCCTACAAATTACCAACAATGTATGTGTGACATACTACCAGCAAGTGTATTATATTCTTCAAATTACCAACAATGTATGTGTGACATACTACCAGCAAGTGTATTATATCCTACAAATTATCAACAATGGGTGTGTGACATACTACCAGCTAGTGTATTATACCATAAACACTAGCACATTGCCCGTCAAAAATGACGAGGCAAGTCCTACTACTTCCACCCCTTAGTATATCATACCCTCACATTCCATAGCTAACTGAGGTAAATAAATTTTGTAAAATCAAGCTTGACCAACAAAGAGACAGAAAAGTGCAGTCGAGTAGGTCAAACGTCAGTAAAATCTATTGAGAGTCAGTCAAAATTAAGATCATTCGTTAAATGAATTCGTGGCGTATTCATAGAATTATTGGTAAAAATCAGTTAGATTAACAACTTTTAATATATAGAAAAGCCCGTGCGTTTTGATAACAATACATTCCAACAATGGCTTTTATGTCATGTTGCTTAGCAACATAATATAACCTAATATTTTTGTTAGTCTATGTACTGAAAGTGCAAAATGAAATATATAGACAATAAAACTGGAAATATATTTGTTGACTAGCTGGAGTACCAGTCTCCTGGATGGAAGTCCTGTAAATTCATGATTAATGAAAGGTTTATCTTAGGACATAAAAAGTTGGGTTCCTAAATATGTAATTGTAAGTGTTAAAAACGCAAAAATGCCAATAAAAACTGCATATCACTAAATGGGAAACCACAAGTTTACATGTATCTCCGAGTGGACCCAACAAACCTTCATGCCAAATTTGGTGAAGATCCATCAACAGGGGGCGAAATAGTGGTAAAAAACGCAAAAACTGAAAATTTGTATGTATCTCCCCATGGACCCAATGAACACCCCCAAACCAAATTTGTTGAAGATCCATCTACGGTGGGCGAAGTAGTGGTCAAAAACGCCCTTAAAAACCACAAAACTGAAAATTTGTATTCCCCAGCATGGACCTAATGAACCTCCATACCAAATTTGGTGAAGATCCATTCACACCCTGAGAAGTAGTCACATGGACATACAACAGAGAGTACTATTATATTTATATAATTTCTTTATTTAGAGTCTCCATTGATTAAATGTGTTTTTTATATTAAAAACATTGGCGATATAATAAAAATGGATTAATTCAGAAACGATTAAAATTGAATCAATATTTTTACTTTCATGATAAATGTTACGCATTTGGCTCTAGGTTAGGTGATCCCACACTACGTCTTTACTTTCGGCTTATTATACCAACACTCACTACACTTATAAGGTTTCACGTCACACACACACTCACAGACACCATTTCACCCCTGTTTGTTAAATTGGTTTGGGCATTCTGAAAACGATCCACTCTTGTTGTAAAAATTCATTTTGT